GTCTGTCCCCCGGTGGGGCCGCCCAAGCTGCCCTTTGGGGAGTCTTCTGCAGCTCCCGCCGGTTGGGCGGACATGCAGGGGCACGGCAGCCCCGGGGCTTCCAGCCACCCTTCTTAGTCCCTGAGCAGGGATGCCCAGGAGACCAGGCACCGTGGGGACCAGGCTGGGAGGGCACAGCGATGCTGTCTGCCGGGTCTGCCCAGAGTACTTGGTGCCCCGAGCACAGACCAGCAGTGACTTGAGTAACTTCGGACATTAAGTCCAAAGTTAAGTCCGAGATTCCCCCTTTGGCTTGAGGGCGGGCGCTGCGCGCGGGCCCCTGCTCTCAGGAGCTGGCGTCCTCCCCAGGTCACGAGGCCAGAGGGGCCCAGCCCTCCCTTCCGAACAGAAGGAGCTCCATTTGGTCAAATGCCAGCCCTGATGCTCTGGACCCTCCCCCACGTCTGTGCCACGTCCCTCCTGCTCTCTGGCCCCTGGCGGCGTCAGCTGGGCTCCCCGAGTGGGCCTGGCGGGCTGGCTGCAAGGCCACCCCTGCTGGTCCCGGAGTGGGTGTGCTTAGAAACCAGTCGCGTGGAAGCATGCGGTGGTAACTTCCGTCCGACCTGCTCTCTCTCTCCCCTCCCTGCCCGCCTTCCTCCTCGTGTGCCGCCGTTCCTGTGGTCCAGTGATTGGGAAATACAGCCAGCATCCGGACTCAGGTGAGCCGGACGCACGTGCGGCCCCGTGTTGTCTTTTTATTGCACCTGCAGGGCATTTTCACAAAGACTCACAGACCTGTGGTTTCCCTTTCCTCTCTCTCCCCTCCCCCTTTCACCCCAAGAGTTGCAGCTGAAGTTGGCCGTAGGTTGGACACTACACTCATCCACTTGTCCTTTCTGCCCCTCGCGCCTCTAGAAAGTCGGGCCGCCCGCCCCCCGCCCGCTTTGTGCCCGGCTTGCACGCTGCCCTCGCCCCTGCCCCTGGCACCAGTGGCCAGCACAGCCCAGCAGCCTCCACTGTGACGCAGGGCCTTGGGGACAGGCCTGGGCTGGGCCACACGGCCCTGGGGGCCCGGCTGACCACGCTGCCAGGGGAAGCAGCTGTCCCCGCCTGTGAGCGACGCAAGCCTGCTACTCTCGGCCTCTGGGACGGCATAGCCTCTGCCCCGCACGCGACACTGCTGCGCACACGTGCCTGGCCTGACCGAGCCCGTGCCGCCAGGGCTCCCAGTGCAGCCTTGTGGGGAACTGGGCTGCGCCCCAAATGTGGGACCCCAGCATCTTGCTGTGCCCGCCTAGCGCCGCCTGGGTGTGAGGTCAGACCCGGTGCCACTGGCAAGATGCTCCAGTTGGTCCAGCTCGCTCCTTCCAGGCCCATAAGTTCTCCTCTTGGGGTTGAGTTCTCGTTCCCCTCAGTCAAGCCTGGGCTGCCCTGTCCCTTGTATTGGACTGGTCAAGCCTGAGGCCAGAATGGCCAGGCTCTCTGGAACCAGAGACCTTTCTCTGGAGCTGAGCCGGAAGGCTGGACGGGAGGGCGTTGCCACAGCGTCGGGGAGACCACCAGCCTCCCTCCCTGCCGGCCGCTCTGGGCTACGGCGTCCGGCAGAGTCTGCCTGAGCCCCACATTTTAGACCCACAGGGACTCCCGGGGGACCTGACAGAGGCTCCTGCCAGAAGGGCTCTGACCTCCCACCCCAGGATACGCTGCTGCATCTCCCGGGTCTGCATCTCACACCGGGCAGAGGGGAGGAGGGAAGACCCTTCTTCGGCCCCAGGCCTCCCTCCGCCCCCCTCACCACCCCCCTGGTTCTCCCCCAGGAATGAGCGACAGCGTCAAAGACAAGTTCTCCATCACCTTCTCCATCGTGGGCATGTTCGCCTCCCATGCAGTGGGGAGCCTCAGCGTGTTCTTCTGTGCAGAGATCACTCCCACAGTAATAAGGTACGTGGCGGGCCGCCCGTGCAGGGGCGCGTTTCTTCTGAGGACACGGGGGGCGGGGCTCCGCGTCTGGCAGGGCTCCCGGTGAACGAGCCAGCAGCTCTGCTCCGGCCTCCGGACGAGCTGCGGCCCGTGCTGGGCGTCAGCTCCCAGACCGCTGTTCCGCCCTGCCCCCCAGGGAACCCAGAGTGAGGTGAGGGCTGGCCCCTGGGTCCCGTCCAGGCAGCTGGAGGGACGGGGAGCGTTGGGGGCGCAAGCAGCGCGGCAGGGCCTGGAAAAGGAGTGGAGTGGGGAGGCCACTGAATTCACGCCTGTGCTCTGCTCCAGCCCAGACGCTGTCCACTCTCCTAGGAGGACTCCGGAAACAGTCTGTTTCACATACAAAGCAGATAGAAAGGGCCTTGGTTTTCTACTGGCCTGAGAGGCCAGTGTCTCCAGCCCAAAGAAGGGCCTCGGAGAGAAAGCCCAAGGAGTTACATCACTGATTTGTTGGACAAATATTGGTTAAGAAGGCGCCGTGTGTCCGGCAGAGGCCGAGTGTGCAGCCCGGCCCCCAGGAGTCCGTGACGGGTCTGTTTTCTGAAAGGCGGGGTGGCGGGCACTCAGCTGCCTTTGCTTTCCTGGGGAGGGGAGGGGGGGGTCTGCTCCGTCCGGCACCGTCCTGGGCAGCGGTACGCGGGCGGGCACACCCTCTGGTGCTGTCGAGGTTACAGCCACACGGAAGGGTTTCCTTTCGTAAAGGGCATCACCTCCCTGCCGTCGCGCTGACTTCCCGGTAGCGACTGTTGTGACTTCCGGTCAAGCTCCCGAATTCGGTGTGGGAACGTCTCAGCTTGCCCAGCGCACACGCTCTGCTTGTTAAAGTGTAATTGGGAGTGTGGCAGTGAATCGGCTGTGGGATGCCGCCCAGAAGCCAGCATGATCGCACCCTTCCATCCTCCCTTTCCCACGTGGGCGACAGGCAGGGGCCAGTCCCATTCAGGCAGGACGCCCGGGACTGACCATCTGGCCCCTGGTGCCGGGCTCTGGGAGGAGGCCCGCGTCTGCAGGCGTCATGCTGACACAGCATTTTCACTGGCCTCGCTCTGGTTCATCCTCCTGGATTCTTACATACACACGCCAAGCCTGAAGGCTGTCCCGTACGCAGGGAATAAAATGGCGGGGAATTGTGCATTTAAGAAAAAGCAGGCAAATGCAAGTCACTCACCCTGGCCCAACCCTCCGCTTAACCGGACACGGGAAGCGAGCCTGGGGCTTATTTCACGCGGGACGTTGCAAAGCGCCCCAGGCAGAGAGCAGCCCCCACCCCCACCCCCGGTGTCTGTCTTTACCCGGTTAATGTCCTTTCTTTACCAAAGAGCCCAGCAAGGAGGACTCTTTCAGGAGACCGGAAGTCGAGGTCAGACTTGTATCTTTCTCTGGGGGTGGCCAGCCTCCCCTTCAGCAGTCGGCAGACCTCGTTAATCATCATTAGATTTTGCTGAAAAGAGCTAAACAAGCTGAACTGAAGGAAGTGCAGTATCCTTTTCCTCTCTGAGGCAAACCTGCAAAGATAATTTTGGGGATAGAAAATGTTCTCGGGGTCAGCTTGCCAGGATGACAAACTAGAAAACATGTTCACTTGACCCTAGGTGATGCGTTTATAGTTGCAGAGGAAGGAGATGAGGTCCAGGGGGGTCTCCTGGTGGGGACAGAAGGCTCTCTGGTGTTGCCGGTGAGTCACTCTCCCTGCTGGACACCCCTCGTCCCGGCCCTTCCTTGCGTGCCCACCCAGGGACAGTCCCACGGGGTCGCTGGGAGGAAATGGACTTCCTGCCTCCCCCGACTTCTCACGGGTGAGCCAGGAGGAGCTGGGAGGGCCACTCAGGTCTGCGAGCTTCACGTTGCCTAGTGCAAAACTAGCCTTTTCTACAACACGGTGTTAAAAACACACCCTCTGAACGAGAACAGTAGCGAAGGTTAGGGTTGGCTAACGAGGAGCGAAGAGCAGGGTAAGAACTCCTTTGCACAGAGCCTGGGGGGACGTTGGCTGTCCACACGTGACAGCTGTCCGGCGCGCCCACCCAGACGCTGACGGCGCCCTCCCCGTGGCCGGCAGCTACAGAGGTGCTTCTCAGCATCCTCCCCTTGGGCCTCGGCGGTGTAGGGGCAGCTGGTGGCTTTGGTGTGGCGGGCCCAGTGTCACCTGGAAGCTGCAGAAGGGTCCCTGAGGCCTCGCTGTCTCCGTGTGCCCTCACAAAGCAGGGCGGGGGGTGGGGCAGGCGCTGGTGGCAGGGGCGCATCCCTCGCCCCCCGACACCTCGTCAGGCTCCCAGAGCGCCGGGCCCCGGCTGCGGGTATTTCTTCCTTTTTTATCGAGATATAGTTGATATACAATATGATGTTTCAGGTGTACAACACAGTGATTCATAATTTTTGAAGGTTAATATATAGCAATTTAAAGGTAAATTATAAAATACTGGCTGTAGTCCCCGTGTTGTACAGTACATCCTTGTAGCTTGTTTCATACCTAATAGTTCGTACCTCTCACTCCCTACCCCCATGTCGCCCCTCCCTGCTTCCCGCTCCCCGCTGGTAACCAGAGTCTGTTTCGTTTTTGTTATCTTCCCTAGTTCGTTGTATTTTTTAGATTCCAAACATAAGTGATATCATACAGTATTTGTCTTTCCCATAATGCCCTCCAAGCCCACCCATGTTGCAAATGGCAAAATTCCGTTCTTTTTGATGGCCGAGTAATATTCCACTGCATATGTCTACCGCATCTTCTTTGTCAGTAGACCTTTAGGTTGCTTCCATGTCTTGGCTATTGTAATACTGCTACGAACACAGAGGTGCATGTATCTTTTTGAATTAGTATTTTCAGTTTTTTTGGATATATACCCAAAAGTGGAATTACTGGATCATATGGTAGTTCTATTTTTAGTTTTTTGAGAAACCTCCAGACTGGTCTCCATAGCGGCTGTACCATTTCACATTCCCACCAGCAGTGCGCGAGGGTTCTCTTTTCTCCATATCCTCGTCAACATGTTACCTGTGTTCTTTTTGATGATGGCCGTTCTGACCGGTGTGAGGTGATGCCTCATTGTGGTTTTGATTTGCATTTCCTGATGACTAGCGATGTTGAACAGCTTTTCATGTGCCTGTTGCCCACCTGCATTTCTTCTTTGGAAAAATGCCTATTCAGTTCTTGTGCCATTGTTTCAATCGGGGTTTTGTTTGTTTTTTGATGTTGAGCTGTATGACCTGTTACATGTTTTGGATGTCAACCCTTTATTGGTCATATCATTTGCAAACAGGGTCTGCCATGCAGTAGGTTGTCTTTTCATTTTGTCCATGGTTTCCTTTACTGTGCAAAATCTTTAAAAAGTTAAATTAGGTCCTGTTTCTTTTTCCTTTTGTTTCCTTTGCCTGAGCAGAGGGGCCACTTCACCGCCTGACACCTCCTCACCCGCTCCCTGGCTGCCACCCCCTTCTCCGGCTGAGCTCTTCCCTCCCCTCAGGTGCCCACCCCTTCCTCCAAGCGTCTTCCTTCCGGAGACCTTCCTTCTGGCTCCTCCCTGTGCCCACCCCCAATGGACCCCACCTGATGTCACTGCTCCAGACATGCCTCAGGAACGGGCACCAGGAAGAGAGATGGCCTGTGTGTCACGTGACACGTGGGGTCGTTTAGCTTGTTTTAAAATTTGCATCATATATATATAAATGTTTATAACACAGGCTCAATGAGTGACCGCAGGCCAAGGGGGTGATGGGTAATCCTCACCATTAAACAGCAGGAGGGGGACAGACAGGACAGGGGACAGCCAAGCACACAGGTCACATCCCCCCCCCCCCCCGAGCCCCCGACTCGGGCCTTTAGCAGGCAGGGAACCTGTGTTCCTCTGTGGCCTTGGGCACGTCCTTCAGCTGGGCTCATCTCTGCCCCAAAACAAGACTAGTCATGACGGCCTTCTCGTCATGACGGCCTTCTTGTGGGGGCACTGGTGGGGGACAGACTGTACACAGAGGGTCTGGCCGCAGTAAGTGACAACTGGTGGTGTTCATTATTCCTACCTGAATATTTTTGGCAGTGATATTCCTGTAAAGATGGGCAGAAATGTTTCTTCGTCCTTGACTTCACAGGAAGGTAGTCAAGACAAGTAATACAGAGAAGGAAGTGGAAAACAGGAGGTTTGTTTTCTGTGTTCAAGACGCTGGTATTAACATGGTTAAAAGAATAATTTGAAGATTCTTTTTTGTTGTTGTTTTTGGTTTTTTGTTTATTTTTCTTTTTTTCCTTTATTTTTATTTTTTTCTGAAGATTCCAGAAGTTTTGTCACGCTTGCTACTTCTAAGAAGTCTGCCTGTGTACCTATCTTTCTATCCTCAAAGTAATTTAGATATTATTACTAGTAAAATAAAGACAGCCAGTAAAAGCCTTCGAGCTCCGAAAGCGCTAGAAGGCAGCCTTGCTCCAGGTTCTCCTTTATCTGTAAATCGAGGCGGCTGCCACTCTCCTGTTTAAACGTGAGCGTGTGCTGCCCTCTCGTGACAACCTGGAGAAAAGCAGAAAATGTACAGAGTCAGCATTTGCGGGGAGAAAGATGAAGTTAGCACCTTAGAACCAAGCACGTAATGATCCCATTCTCTGAACTGAGATTTCTAAAAGAAACACAGATCCAAAAATGGAATACCAGATTCTGCCACAGTTGTTCCTAATTTCAAGGTCTCCTTGATAGAACACCAACAGAAAATTGCTTTTGTGGAAAAAAATACGTAAGGCTATATTGCATATTACATATGCACGTGTACATGGATTGTATTTTATATATATGCATCTGTACTTTTTAAAAACAAGTCATCGAACCCTACCATAAATCAAATACGTTCCATCTCATTTGAGGTGACTTGCTACCATGACATAGTTCACCTGGACTCTGAGGGGAAGCCAGCTCCTTGCTCAGGAATTCCTTGTGGGCTGTGCACTCACGTCCCTGTGCACTAACCACGTGAGCACTTTACTGCACTGAGCGGGGAAGCCTCTCACGCTCATCAGCACCACCCCACTCAACTTACGGGAAGGTCAGGCAGACGTGGGCAGTTTTGTTTTGTTTTAATAAATTTACTTATTTATTTTTGGCTGCGTTGGGTCTTCGTTGCTGCGAGCAGGCTTTCTCTAGTTGTGGCGAGCGGGGGCTGCTCTTCATTGCAGTGAGCGGGCTTCTCATCGCGGTGGCTTCTCTTGTTGCTGAGCTCGGGCTCTAGGCACGCGGGCTTCAGTAGCTGTGGCATGAGGGCTCAGTAGTTGTGGTGCACGGGCTTAATCCATGGCATGTGGGATCTTCCTGGACAGGGCTCGAACCTGTGTCCCCTGCATTGGCAGGCGGATTCTTAGCCACTGCACCACCAGGGAAGTCCCACATGGGCAGTTTTAGAGAAAATGATCTCTCACTGGTATCAAAGGCCCGTGAAACACGTCCTTTATTTCTGGTGCCCCATATAATCCCTTGCAGCCTCCTGTGGCTTCCTGGAGTGGCCAGACTCACAAGGACTGAAGAGCTGTTTCAGGTGCTCGTTTATTCACCTTCCAGTGGAGTCAGTCGCACCGCTCTTTGTAAGGTCTTCACATTCACTCTGCCCCATTCACTGGGACGGTGGCCCTCTTGCCGAGGAACCAGGGTGATCTGATCTGCAGCATCCCCACATTTATGAAACACAGTGTGTGCCATGGATGTTCCAGAAAAGAATCCTTGACCCTCTTTTCCCCATTGTACATTCTTGGCTCCTTTGTCATAGATTAATTGACCATAAGAGCATGGGTTTATTTCTGGGCTCTCTGTTTCACTGATCTATCTGTCTGTTTTTGTGCCAGTACCATACTGTTTTGACTACTGTAACCTTGTAGTATAGTCTGAAGTCAGGGAGTGTGGTCCTTCCAGCTCTGCTCTTCTTTCTCAAGAGTGTTTTGGCTATTTAGGGTCTCCTGCATTTCCATTAAAATTTTTAAATTATTCTCGTTCTGTGAAAAATGTCATGGGTATTTTGATAGGCATTGCATTGAATCTGTAGCTTGTCTTGGGTAGTACGGTCATTTTGACAATATTAATTCTCCCAATCCAAGAACACGATATATCTTTCCATCTCTTTTTTGTCGTTTTCAATTTCTTTCATCAGTGACATAGTTTTCTGAGTAGGTTTATTCCTAGGTATTTTATTCTCTTTGTTGCAATGGTATATGAGATTGTTTCCTTAATTTCTCTTTGATAGTTCATTGTTAGTGTATAGAAATGCAACAGGTTTCTGTATATTAATTTTATATCTTGCAACTTTACCAAATTCATTGATGAGCTCCATAGTTTTCTGGTGACATCTTTAGGATTTTCTGTATATATTTATAGTATCATGTCATCCACAACAGTGACAGTTTTACTTCTTCCTTTCCAATTTGGATTCTTTTTATTTCTTTTTCTTCTCTGAGTGCTGTGGCTAAGATTTCCAAAACTATATTGAATAAAAGTTGCAAGATTGGGTATCTTTGTCTCATTCCTGATCTTACAGGAAATGCTTTCAGCTTTCCATTGTTGAGTATGATGCTAGCTGTGGGTTTGTCATATGGCCTTTACTATGTTGAGGTATGTTCCCTCTATGCCCACTTTCCTGGAGAGTTCTTATCATAAACCGGTGTTGAGTTTTGTCAAAAGCTTTTTCTGCATCTATGGAGAAATCATATGGTTTTTATTCTTCAGTTTGTCAATGTGGTGTATCACACTGACTTGCAGATCTTGAAAAACCCTTGCATCCCTGGGATAAGTCCCACTTGATTGTGGTGTATGATCCTTTTAATATATTGTTGGATTTGGTTTGCTAATGTTTTGTTGAGGGTTTTTGCATCTATGTTATTAATCAGCAGCCTATAACTTTGTGATATTTTTGTCTGGTTTTGGTATCAGGGTGATGGTGGCCTCATAGAATGAATTCGGAAGTGTTCCTTCCTCTGCAGTTTTTTTGGAATAGTTTGAGGAGGATAGGGGTTAGCTCTTCTCTAAATGTTTGGTAGAATTCACCTGTGAAGCCATCTAGTCCTGCACTTTTTTGTGTTTTGGGAGTTTTTAAATTACTGATTCAGTTTCATTACTGGTAATTATCTGTTCATATTTTCTATTTCTTCCTGGTTCAGTCTTGGGAGATTGTACCTAAGAATTTGCCCATTTCTTCTAGGTTGACTATTATTATTGGCATATAGTTGTTCACAGCAGTCTCTTATGGTCCTTTGTATGTCTGTGGTGTCAGTTGAAACTTCTTTTATCATTTATGATTTTATTGATTTGGGCCCTCTCCCTTTTTTTCTTGATGAGTCTGGCTAAAGGTTTATCAATTTTGTTTAGCCTTTCAAAGAACCAGCTTTTAGTTTCGCTGATCTTTTCTATTGTTTCTTTAGTCTCTGTTTCATTTATTTCTGCTCTGATTTTTATGATTTCATTCCTTCTACTAACTCTGGGTTTTGTTTGTTCTTTCTCTAGTTCCTTTAGGAGTATGGTTAGGTTGTTCGTTTGATTTTTCTTATTTCCTGAGGTAAGCTTGTATCACTGTAAACTTATCTCTTAGAACTGCTTTTGCTGTGTCCCATAGGTTTTGAATTGTTGTGTTTTCTTTTTCATTTGTGTCTAGGTATTTTTCTGTTTCCTCTTTAATTTCTTCAGCGATCCACTGGTTGTTTAGTTGCATATTGTTTAGCCTCCCTGTGCTTGTGTTTTCTGCAGTTCTGTTCTTGTAGTTGACTTCTGGTATCATAGTTTTGTGGTCAGAAAAGCTGCCGGATATATTAATGTCCTGAGGCTTGTTTTATGGCCTAGCATGTGATCTGTCCTGGATGATGTTCCATATGCACTTGGAAAGAATGTGTATTTGCTGCTTTCAAATGGAATGCTCTCTTTATATATATATCGATTAAGTGCATCTGGTCTCGTGTGTCATTTAGGGTCAGTGTTTTCTTACTGGGTGATCTGTCCATCCATGTGAGTGGGCTGTTAAAGTCCCCTATTATTGTGTTACTGTCAGTTTCTCCCTCTGTGTCTGTTAACATTTGCCTTATATATTGAGGTGCTCCTGTGTTGGGTGCATATATATTTACAATGGTTATATCTTCTTTGGATTGATCATTTTATCCAAAATGTGGTGTCCTTCTTTGTCTCTTGTAATAGCCTTTGTTTTAAAGTCTACTTTTCCTGATATGAGTATTGCTACTCCAGCTTTCGATTTCCATTTGCATGGGATATCTTTTTCCATCCCTTCACTTTCAGTCTGTGTCTGTCCCTAGGTCTGAAGTGGGTCTCTTGTAGACAGCATATATACGGGTCTTGTGTTTGTATTCATTTAGCGAGCCTGCGTCTTTTGGTTGGAGCACTTAGTCCATTTACACTCAAGGTAATTATCGATATGTATGTTCTGACTGCCATTTTGTTCATTGTTTTGAATTTGATTTTGGAGGTCTTTATCCCCCTTTCTTCTTTTGCTTTCTTCTCTTGTGATTTGACGACTATCTTTAGTTTAACGTTTGGATTCCTTTTTCTTTTTTATGGGTGTATCTACTACAGATTTTTGACTTGTGGTTGCCGTGAGGTTTTCATATAGCAGTCTATGTATATCATATAGCAGTCTATGTATATATACATGTGACTGTTTCAGGGTGCTGATCTCTTAATTTTAAAACTCTGCATTTGGGACTTCCCTGGTGGCGCAGTGGTTGGGAATCCGTCTGCCAATGCAGGGGACACGGGTTTGAGCCCTGGTCCAGGAAAATCCCACATGCCGCGGAGCAACTAAGCCCTCGCACCACAACTGCTGAGCCCGCAAGCCTAGAGCCCGTGCTCCGCAACAAGAGAAGCCACCACAATGAGCCTGTGCACTGCAACGAAGAATAGCCCCCGCTCACTGCAACTAGAGAAAGCCCTGCAGCAATGCAGCCCTGCACCAATGCGGCCAAAAGTAAATTTTTAAGAAACAAACAAAACAAAGGAAACCCTGCCTTTGTCCTCTTCTCCCCTCACATCCTATTTTCCATCTAACTGTTCTGTCCATCCCTTAACTGCTTATTGTGGATATACATGATTTTATCATTTCTTTTAACCCCCCCACTAGCTTTGTTTGTGGATGACTTCCTACCTTTACTATATGTTTGCCCTTACCGCTTAGTTCTTTCCATAGTTTTCTTGTTTCTAGTCGTAGCTATTTATTTTTCTTTTAGAGAAGTCCCTTTAACATTTGCTGTAAAGCTGGTTTGGTGCTGAACTCTTAGTTTTTGCTTGTCTGTAAAGCTTTGATCTCTCCATCAAATCTGAACGAGAGCCTTGCTGAGCAGAGTATTCTTGGTTGTAGGTTTTATCCCTTCATCATTTAAAATAGATCATGCCATTCCCTTCTGGCCTGCAGTTTCCACTAAAAAACAGCTGATAGCCTTACGGGAGTTCCCTTGTATGTTGTTTGTTGCTTTTCTCTTGCTGCTTTTAATATTCTGTTTTTATTTTTTGGTACTTCAGTTGCAGTGAGTCTTGGAGTGGTCCTCTTTGGGTTGATCCTGTTTGGGACTCTCTGTGCTTCCTGGACCTTGATGTCTGTTTCCTTTCCCAGGTTAAACAAGTCTTCAGTGGTTATGTCTTCAAATATGTTCTGTGCCCCCTGCTCTCTCTCCTCCTCTGGGACCCCTGTAATGCAAGCATTATGTGTGCCTGGTGTCCCAGAGTCTCTCACTCTGGCCTCACTTCTTTTCATTCTTCCTTCTGTTCAGCAGCAGCAGTGGCTCCCACTGCTCTGTCTTCCAGCTGATCCGTTCCTCTGTGTCACTCAGTCTGCTGCTGACGCCTTCATTTATTACTATAGTCTTCACCTCTGTATGGCTGTTCTTTGTATTTTCTGACTCTTGTTAAAAGCTTTTAACTCCTTGCTCTGTGCATCCGTTCTTCTCCCGAGCTCTCTGATCATCTTCACTGTCGTCGTTCTGGACTCTTTCTTGGGTAGACTGCCTGTCTCCACTCCGCTTAGTTGTTCTCCTGGGGGTTTATTTTGTTCCTTCGTCTGCAGCAGGTTTCTGTGCCACCTCGTCTTGTCTGAGTTGCTGTTTGTGTATTACGTATGTGGTAGGTTGTTTCTCGACCTCAGCAGTGGCCCCCTCTGTAGGAGACATTACGCATCCCAGCAGCACACTCGTCACCAGAGCTGTATGTAGGGGCGCCCCCTGTGAGGGCTGTGTGGTTCCTTCTGTTTTGGAGGGCTGGCTACGTGGGTGGTCTGGTGGGCTTAGTTGGCACCCGGTCTGGTTGACTGCCAAGCTCTGCCTTGTGTGGAGGCCACTGGTTGGTGGGGCCTGGTCAGGAGGCAGCTGACTGCAGAATCCCCAGGGACCCTGGGGCTAGTGCCAGGTCACTGATGGGTGATGTCAGGGTCCAGGCGACTCTGGAGCTGTTGACCCCCTACTGCTGGGTGAAGCCAGGTCCTGGGGTGAGTGCCAGAGAGCTGGTGTAAGATTGCTGGTGGCTGGGGCCAGTTCCTAGCACAGTTGGGTATGGGGTCCGGGGTGTCCAGAAGCTTGCACTGGCCAGCTGGGAGCGCCGAGGTCTGCAAGCTGCAGGATCGTGGTTTTCCTGCTTCTGGTTTCTGCCCCGTGGTGGGCGGGACTGGTCTAGAGGCTGTGCAGGCTTCCTAGCAGCAGAGGCCAGCACCTGTCAGCTGGTGGGTGGAGCAGAATCTTGGCCCTCTGGTGGGCAGGGCCATGTCCAGAGGTGGCCAGCTGCGTGCTCAGGAAGTCTCTAAGCAGCCTGTCCGCTGAGGGGTGGGGCTGTGTTCCCACCCAGCTGGTGGTCCCAGCACTGGCACCTACAGGCGGTTGGGTGGGACCGGGTCTCAGAGCTCATGAGCCAGGACGGTGGTCACCGGCACCAGCGTCCCCATGGTAGAAAGCTCCCAAATATGTCTGCCACCAGCATCTGTGTCCCCAGGGTGAGCTGCAGTTGCCCCCTTGCCTGTCTGAGAGACTCTCCAAGTCCAGCAGGTACGTCTGGCCCAGGCTCCTATCAAGTTACTGCTCTGCCCTTGGTCCCAGTGCACGTGGGATTTTGTGTACTCCCTGTAACAGTGGAGTCTCTGTTTCCCCCAGTCCTCTGGGACCCCTGAAAGCCCCCCATCCCCGGGGGCCCGTTTTCCTGGTATAGGACCTGCGGGCTACGGAGCCCGATGTGCGGCTCAGAACTGTCTCCTGTGGGAGAACCTCCGCGATGTGCTTGCTCTCCGGTGTGTGGGTCGCCCCCCCGGTGGGGGTCACGAGCCTCGATCATCTCGCACGTCTGCTCCCCCTACCTGGCTCATTGTGGCTCCTCCCGTGTCTTCAGCCGTGGATCTTTCTGGCAGGCTCTGGTCCTTTGTGTCCAGCTGTAGATCTTTCTGGCTCTGGTCCTGTTCATCGATGGCTGCTCCGCGCAGCTGTGAGTCCGGCGTGCCCACGGGAAGAGGCGAGCTGGGGGGGGTCTTTCCACTCCACCACCTCGGCAGCTCTCCTGTCGACGTGTCCTTAATGCCTTCTTTAACCCCCGGCCACCCTCCCCGCTTCTAAATGAAGAGCGAGCCTTGGAAAAACAGCGTAAATGGATACAGCGTCGAGAAACAAAATGTTACGTTATTCACGGCAAGCGAGGCCGCTTGTCCCCTACAGTGGTATTTATCACAGTCACCTAGTAAGAAGTTTGGGGCTGGTGAGGAAAATGTTCACTGAATAGCGGGGGCAGCAGATGCAGGAGGTGAAGGGGGTTGGGGGGAGCTGGCCGTGCGCCGGTGCTGGGGCCCCGTGCCTGTGGGCCCGACCCGCCGCCTACCTGTGCGTTCCCCGCAGGTGCGGCGGCCTGGGGCTGGTGCTGGCCAGCGCGGGCTTTGGCATGCTGACGGCGCCCATCATCGAGCTGCACAACCAGAAGGGCTACTTCCTGCACCACATCATCTTCGCCTGCTGCACGCTCATCTGCATCATCTGCCTCTTGCTGCTGCCCGAGAGCCGGGACCAGAACCTGCCCGAGAGCATCCCCGACGGCGAGCACTACACGCGCCAGCCCCTGCTGCCACCCAGGCGCGGGGAGCAGCCCCTGCTGCTGACCAACGCCGAGCTCAAGGACTACTCGGGGCTGCACGACGTGGCCGCCGCGGGCGACGGGCTGCCGGACCGTGCCACGGCCAACGGCGGGCGGCCCATGTAGCAGGGCCCTGGGGGCGGACCGGGCTGACCGTGGCCATGGGTGGGCCCACTCTGCTGAGGCCGGCGTGGGGACCCCCAAGGAGCCCACGTGTGAGGAAGAGGACTTTGCAAATGACCCTTCAAAGACTTTCCTTTCTGCCATGAAACGTTTGTATTTATTTTGGTCATTTTTAAAGAGCACTTTACTCCCTTCCCTTCACGGGTCCCACCTCCTCAGGAAGAGGGACGCAGTGGCCGAGGACACACCGTGAGGACCGCGCAGCCCAGGCTCCCCGGGAGGTCCGGCTGCGCCCTCAGAGCCAGCTGTCCCCGAGGCCGTGCACAACCAGCCACCTTCCGGAGCACTCCCACAGCTGTGCTTTATTCAGACTGAAATGTAAATGGTTAGGGTTTTGCTAGAGTCTGTATATGGTTTTTAAAGGTTTTCTCTGTAAGGTAAGAGCTTCTGCTCCATGTGCTGGGGGAAAGCAGCTCACGGTATCATTAAAACCAGCTTAGTCTTTCCCGCGAGATCATCCTTTTATACTTGATGCTGGAAGCTCTTTGGGGGAAGAGCCTGATTAGTGGCGGTATCGCCACGGTCTCCAAGGCAGGGCTGCCCAGCTCAGATCCCGAGCAGCGACGCCATCGATCAGAGACAAGTTACTGTTATCACCCCTCCTCCTGGTTCAGCTCCAGCAGGAAAGTCCCCTCTTGCAGTCAGCTTTTCTGCCAGCACAACATGAACACACGACTACTTCCTGAACTAACACCAATAGGAAAATAACTCAATAGGCTAGGCAGCCCCCAGGAGGGAGCGGTGCTCTTGCAAACACGGCCCGCCAGCCACATCCCGAGCACACACGGCGCAGAAATCACCAGCTTGGAGGCCTCGGCTCCGCTAGCCGCCGGCGGAGACCCCAGAGCCCTCTGCTTCCGTCAGCACGGAGCTGGGCCTGGAGCAGGCCCTCACTGGGGAGCTCTGCTGACGGCAGCCTCCGAGAACATCAAGACCAACTGAGAGAAGCAATAACTCACCAAAGCTCGAGCCCCACCCGACTCCAAGGGTTTTCGTTGTGTTCCTCACTTCATCCCCCTGCCTTTCCAGGTCAGGCTCTCTGCACCTGTCTGGAGCCGTTTCAGAGGAAACGCAGGAGATGCTGAGAAACACCCCTCGCTGGCCAGGCAGGCACCGCCTTGTGGCAGTCCCGGGACAGCCTGGGCTCTTCCTGGAAGGGTCCACCTCCCCACGGTGCCTCTGCCGTGGGCTCTTCTTCCAGGGAAGGCGTGGCCCTGGGTCCGTGGGAAGCAGCGAGGGGACTCCCAGCCCACGGCTGCCCAGACTCCGAGGCCCAGGAGAGAGGTGGAGCGCGTCCCCGCTCGCCTCCTGTCCCCTCCAGTCTGTCTTGCCGTCCCCCCACGGTGCCCCTACAAGCTGGCGGCCGCGGGGAGGAGCCGCTGGCTCGGTGGGAACGCCGTGAGGTGAGCAGACGCGCAGGCCTGTGTGGTGGCGGCAGCTACACCGCCTGGTCCCAGGGCCACCAGCCCAGCCCCTCATGGCCCTGCCTTGTGTCTTGAGTCATGTCTGTTCTGTGTTTCAGCGTCCGTCCGCATTCACCTTAATCTACAAGGCCTTTCTTCACACCTGTGCAGCTCGAGTGCCAAACCTGGGAAGCGCCTTAGCCTCTCTCAGCATGCCGGCCGCAGGGTCCCCGGTCCAGGGCAGGACGTGCAGCGCAGGGCTGGCGGGGTCCCTGGGCCACACCTGCCAGGTGTGTCTGCACCCATCACCCCAGCTCCAGGACACCTTGCAGCCAGGCCGCTCGCCAGACCCCAGGCCGTGCGTGCCCTCCTGCTGGCCATGTAGACCTTTAGAGATCGTGCTCAAGCCGCAGGGGACAGCTGGCACCTCCAGGAAGGCGGGCACAGCGCTCCCAGACCCCTGTTCCAAAGTCTGAGGTCCGTCTTAAGTGACAACAGTAGACGCTGGTCCCACAGAGCCCAGCACTGTGACCGCAGCGGTCAGGACCAGCTCATAGACTAGAAGAGAAGCTGGCTGCGAGGGCGGGGCTCCCGGGACCAAAGCCTGGCAGGTGTGAGGGAGGGGAGGTTCCCGGCTCCTCCATGCCCCCTCCTGCGGCCCTGGGTCAGGCTGGTCCCGAGGGACAGCTGTGAGCGTAGCCAAAGCAGAAAAGCTTCCTGTGGGCCGAGCCCCGTGAGACCCCCCACCACGCGGGCGAGGCAGCCCCAAGCCCAGCCGGGGCCGGTCCTGCCTGCTCTGCGAGACCCCCGTGCTCACGCGTGGACCCCTCAGCCCAGGTCCCTCCGTGCTTAGGGGAGAGACACTTCTCAGGCGCCTGCCGCTGCACGTCCGCCACCCGGCTCACCCAGCCCGCTGCCTGGGAAGGTCCAGCTACTCCTCTGGCATCACGCCGCGCCCTCAGTCCCAGCCCCCCAGGAGCCGGGACCCCCTTCCAACGAGTCAGGCACAAACGTGATCCTCCTGCCTTCTCTTCCTGTCTGGAAATCAGTAACAACTCACCCGATACTCACCCAATACCCTGCCTGTTAGCACTCAAAACACACAGTAAAAGTTTTAAATGTTACCTGAAAGACTACAATACCACTTGCGACTAGGGGCACGGGGGCGGGCAAGCTGGTCCGGCCACAGAACAGCAGGAGAAAGAAACGGCCCAGAGGAAGTACTGCCCGCAATACCACTTCCTGGTGCCACACGAGGGCAGCTGAGGCGCCGCGAAAGGACGAGCCCCTGGGCCACAGGGTGGTGGCGACGTGGTGCGGCCTGCGTGCCGCTGGGGGTGCCCCGGTGGCCCAGCAGCCCCGGGCCGGAGGTTTCTGTGTGAGAACCGTGTGGCCTGCGTACGGACGGGACGCCTGGAGGTGCCTGCTCCCAGCACAAACCTGCACCCGGTCCTGGCCTGTCCTTACGTTCCTGTCTGCATGACGCCACAGCTGTCGTACCCTGGGGGGAGATTTGTATGTAAATGTACAGAAATAAAAATGTTGCCCCATTAACAAACTTCCTCTGGAATGTCTTCCCTACCTCATCTGATGGTGTCCAGTGAAGGGCATTTCGTGACCACTGGCTACGAGTAATAAACTCTGTTGATTCAGGTCTCGCTGTGTCCCTACTTTAGCGCCTGTGTAAGCCCAGCCTCGGCTCTGCCCCCGGGGGACCGCGGGGGGCTTCTCTGCCTGCAGATTCCCCATCGTAAAGGCGGGCAGAGGAAACATCAAACTGCCGTTCGCAGGCCCCGAGAAACGGGGGGCGACAGCAGGTTTCAGAGTTCTTTTCTCTTGTGTGTGGATGTCCTGCTAATCTAATCCGTGGCCTGAAGGTTCCTAGAGAGGAAACGATTCTCACACTGTGATTCGGTCAGGAGAGACTGAGAACCCAGAGCTCTCTTTAATGTAGTATTTTTTAACAAGAAAGCAATATTTCTTTAATAAAGTATTTATACCAAACTCTCCTCTCCATAGCCCTGATTTGCGTTACCTGCTCTTCCTAGAAAGGTACCCACTGTGCTTCCAAACCACAACCGGCCGGGGCCTTGCAGGTTAGCGTCCTGAGCCCCAGACCTGGTCCCCGGAAGGTCCTTTCCGTCCCGGCCAAAGTGTCACCGCTCTGGCTGCCCGCACTGGCTCGACACAGGGCTTGCCACCCATCGCGTGAACCGTGTCACAGGGCCCGAAACCATCCGCCTCTCCTGACAAAAGGGGTCCACGTGGACCCCAAAGATCAGAGAGTCCTTTGCCTGTAGTTCTCGGCTTGGCTGTGCTGAGAAGCACGTGGGGGGCTTTCCAACCCCACAAAACCTGGGCCTCCGGCCGCCTGAGTCTGGGGAAGGGAACCTGTAAGAGCTCTGCCAGCAATTCGACCGGAAGACAAGTTGAGAGCCACTGACCTGAGCACCACCGGCTTCTGGAAAGGAGTGCACGTACCAGAAAGGCTGGACTCCACCTGAAGCAGCAGAAAAGGCCAAGGATTAAGACGACGCAGCAGGGGCCTACGACTTGGAGGAAAGAGGGGACGGAAGGACAGGCAGGGCAGCAGGAAGCCCAGGGAGGGGCTGACACACTCGGATGCATTCAACAAGAAGGGTAAAACCGTGACCCAGGTCCTAGGGGCCTCGGCACCGGGGTTTGCGAAGCATTTCCAGCAATAACCCAGCCAGGTGAGACCATCCCACTTCACAGGTGAGGAAACGGCGCCCAGAGAAGTGAGACTCAGTAGTGGCGGGACGTGGGGACACACGACAGAAGGACCTCACAGGCCTCGGGCCTCAGGCCCCGGTCGTGACAAGATGGGCCTGACGGAGTCGTGACTGATTTCCCCTCCGTCCCACAACGGCCCCGAACCCCTCCCCCCAGGACCGCGAGGAACCTTCCCTGCCCTTCTCCTGCCTCCTCCTGCAGGTGCAGCCCTGGGGCCCAACTCCAGTGACGGCGGGAAGACCGACCCTTTAAAAACAAACGTCACGCGTGACCCTGCTGACAGCTGGCGACACCCCACGCGTTTATTCAGACGTCCGTCCGGGCGCGCGCATCTGCGTCCTTGCTGCCGCCTGGGCTAGAACTTCTCGGGAAAGGCCTCCATTTCCTCCTTGATCCTGTTTTCTACCAGCAACGTGAAGCTGCTGTCGGTGTTTGGAAGGTTATAGCTGACAAACACCTGTTTGCTGGTCTTCCTGGCTGAAACGAGAGAAAGCACACGGACGTGTGCAACCCACTGCGGGGAAAGGCCTGGAAGGGGAAGGTGGGCTTCCAGGGAGAGAAGCGAGCTCTGACACCTGTGGTGTCACGGGCAGTTGCTGCAGACCAGACTACAGGCACCGAACAGCGGTTCTGAAAGGCCGGTCCCCATGGCCACAGTGCCGGGACCTCGTGGGAGATGCAGACCCTCGGCCCGCCCAGACCCACTGAGTCTGCTCTCAGTCTCTACTGTCTGAGTCCCACCGCTCTGCACACGGGGCTGGCTGGTCGTGCTGCTTTTTAAAAAGCACAGATAATGTGCAAGTATTTAAAACACTAAGGTCCTGGGACTTCCCTGGCGGTCCAGTGGTTAGGACTCCACGCCTCCACCGCCGAGGGCCTGGGTTCAATCCCCAGTCGGGGAACTAAGATCCCGCGAGCAGCGGGGCACGGCCCAAAAAATCTATCTATACTTCAGAACCGCCCCCTCCAGCAACTCCCCCTGCCCACAGACGGGAGCCGACGTTCCTACACATACACACGTGCAGGCACACGTGCACACGTACGATTTCTCAACGCGATGCGAGAGACGTGTTTTAGCTCCTTTCTGCGGCACCGTTCATGGCTGACGTGAGCTGCTCCAACCGCCAAAAGCACGTGCGGTTGCACACCCATAACCTGAAGGCAGGACAGGTCCCGAGGACAAGCCAGGCGGTACCGGTCCCCTCTTCCCCTTCCGGTGAAATAGCTCCTCCCTGGGCCCCACCCCACAGGGGGCGGGTGCAAGCCCCTCCTCCCCCCACCGCAGTCAGGGGCTACGTCAGTCCCGTCCGCAAAGGCAGAGAGAAGGGGACGGGGAGAGCCGGGGCAGTCGAGCCACAGCCGCTCAGCCTGCCTGCATTCGGCGGCAGGAAAGTCCCCGGCCCCGGGGGCCACTGATTCCAGTCCCTCCGCGAGCCAAGAACCATCCCGCCTGCACGGTCCACCCGGCAGCCCCACCCTGCGCCCCAGAGCCACACAGGGCAGGGGGTCCCCATCCACACCGAAGCCCCCAGTGCCCCCAGGCCGTTCACCTCTTCCACCCAAGACACTGTCTCGGGGCACCTGTCTCTTCTCGGCTCCCTCCAGACAACTAACGACGGTTAATAACGCATTTTCAACTGCAGGTGACCTCCCTGCGGAACGGGCCTCTGTGGCCTCAGCACACGCGTCGCCTGTCCCCCTGCGGTGCTGGCATCTCACCACGTGTGCCCGTCCCTGCTGGGCGGTGGCCGAGGGCTGCCAGGTCTGCGGATACGGGAGGGTGGGAGCCTCCACTAGCGTCTGGCTTTGGTTAAGTGAGAGTGTATTTTTTGGTCTGTATTTTTTGGTCTGTGTTGTTTCAAATTATGCAGATTATAAATCGACGTAAGCCACGTGAGAGAATGTTAAAAAGAGCGCCAACGTTTGCATAAAATGCCCAAAAAAAGAAAAAGAACCCTAGTTTTCGCACACAAACTGCTTCCAGATCTCATCTCGAGGACACCAGGAGCCCATCTCCCTTCACTGGAATAACCAGGTGGTTCGTGGCTCATCGAATGAGCTCCCGCCGCCTCCTCTCCTGGACTCGGCCCACACGGGGGGCCCACCAGTCCCAGCTCCACAAACCAGCAGCCTCCCTCCCTCCTCCACCAGGCCCGGCACACAGGGCCTGCCTGCTGGGGGTGCGTCACCCCGAAACGCTGGCAAATACGCAGTGAAGCAAAGGGGCATCAGGTCTCCCACCTGCTCTCCGTGGGTCCCAAAAAACCAGCAGCTCAAACGCAGAGCAGCAATGATAGCACCTGGGAGTCTGGGCGAAGGCTAGGCAGGAATCCTTTACATCTCTCCTGTGGCTTTTCTGTAAATTTTAAATTGCTTCCTCATAAAAAGTTACCAAAATAACTTACTAGCCAGGCTGCTCTAGCTTCAGGCTAAAGGACAAGTGTGGTGGACGTCCCCGAGACGCAGCCGCCAGGTCTCTGCCCCGTCTCGTGCGACCTGTGGGCCACCTGTGCCAGCCCTGGCCCTCGACGCACTGGCAGTGCCTCCACCAGTGCGTGGCTGCGCTGTCCGCATGCGTGCGTCCCGGAGCGACTGACACTCACGTCCCCACTCCCCGGAGATGAGGCTGACAGGACCATCGACACAACTGCAAAAGAAGCTCCTCAAATCAGGGCCCGGCCTCATCGCCACCCCCCAGCCGGGACCCAGGGCTCCGCACGTGGCCAGGACACTGTGAACACGAAGGCCAGACAGGAGGCAAGGCTGCCCTGCCGGTCGAGGTCCCCGGCGCCTGGGACCACCCAGCGGTCATGGGTACCAGCTGGGGGCACCTTTACCTGAACCACCTGGGCATCTTGCAGGACACGTTTTGGGTGCAGGGGGGCTGGAGCCCTCAACCTCGGGGCCCTGCCTGACGCCCTTTCAGGCCACCCTAGGCCAGGCCGTCACCCTTCCGAGCTCTGAGCGACATCACCTGCGGCGAAGGGCAGTCCCTCCTGCTCCGCGGGGCCCCACCGAACCCCTGGAGGCTACCTGGAGCCGCCACCCACTAGGCACCGTGGGCATCACTCGCCCGCTCCTCCCACGAGGAGGAGGAGATCACCTGTCACTGGTCGGCCTGGACGGCAGCCAGAGCGACACGGGAGCCCGTGGGCAGCACAAGCCCCGAGCGGTGCTGGTACCGGCTCAGCTCCTGAGAAGCCCGGTGTACAAGGCCTTCCTTCCCGCAGAGACCGGGGGTCTGCCTCCCAGACAGAGTCTTCCTCCTCCAGCGACTCGCCTCCCGGCTCCGCTGAACAACGAGGTCCCCACCCGGGCACTCGGGCAGCTAAGCTGCAGGACCTACCTAAGCGCTGGGCGAGGCCGGTGGACGTCGTGTCGGACACGTCCCCAAGGAGGGCAGTGGACACAGGGATGGGGTCCTGCAAGGAAAACAAAGAGCAGTGCTGCCCCACCTGCAAGGCCCAACGCTCCTGGATCACCTGAGCACCCAGGGTCCCATGGCCCCCCTTCCTGTCCCAGGCCGGCCTCCCCCTGCAGTGGGCCTGTGTCACCCTAGCTGTGCAGCCTCTCCTGGCAGCAGGCAGGCCTGCCCGGTGAAAGGCTGGAGCAGCCCAGAGGGGTGAGTGGGGCACAGACAGGGGGGCAGGGGCGCCCCAGCAGCTGACGGGGCCTGCAGGTCAGTGCGGGCTCTGGACTCTCGGAAGGTCTGAGCAGAGGGATGACGATACTGACTGCAGCCCAGGGGGGACTGGCCGTAAGGCAGTGCCGAGGGCTAAGCCACGACCTCCAAAAGGTACGTCCAGGTCCTAACCCCTGGCACCTGTGCAGGTGACTTTATTTGGAAATAGGGCCTTTGCAGATGTAATTGAGATGTAAGTTAAGGTGAGAAGGACCCTTCATCTAGTAGAACTGGTGTCTTCAGAAGAATGGAAGAGACAGAGGCACACAGAGGAGAAGGCCTGTGCACTGGCAGCAGGACTGGGGGTGACGAGGCTGCCAGCAGCACCGGAAGCCCAGAGACGGGACGACTTCTCCCCCAGAGAAGACGGGGGGCGACTTCTCCCCCAGAGCCTCCGGGAGGAACCAGCCCTGCTGACACCTTGATTCAGACTCTGGCCTCCAGATCTGGGAGGGAATCAGCCTGTTGTTTTCAGCCACCCAGCCTGTGGCACTTTGCAACAGCAGCTCTGAGAAACCTATAACGTGGCAAAGGGGGCCTCAGCCGCCACGAGAGATGCAGCTTGGCCCAGGCAGCAGGTGAGAAGAGGCTGGATTCTGCAGGTTCTGCTGACAGCAGTGCCTGCTGCTTCACTGACACTGGGCGCGTGGAGCGTGGGAGAGGGGATCCAAAGATGACCCCAAGATTGGGACGGAGCTGCTACAGAAAGGGGCTGGCTGCTGGAGGAGCGGGGCGGAGCCTGGAATGCCGAGGGACAGCTGCCTATCACACCCGCCAGCGAGACGTGGGAGGGGAGGGGAAGGGCGGGAAAGAGGTCTGGGCCGGAAATGTAAGTAAGTGTGGTCAACAGGGAGCCGGCAAGAAAAACAAGGACAGATGCCACCCCCCAGGGCGAGTGTGAGCTGACAGCAGAGGTCCCACGACGGAGCCCTGACACTCCAACCAGAAATGGAGGACGACCAGCCGAGCGGCGGGACGCAGCTCTCCCCGGGTGGCCAGCGCAACCCTCTTCGACCCCGGACCCGGGGAGCCCCAAGCGCCCCTCCCCGACCCAGGACAGCCCTGGGGGGCCGCCGAATCCGCGGTCTCCCCGGCGGGCACCCGGTGGGCACGGGGCGCGCGCCTGAGGCCCTCGGTCACCGTTCGGCCCCCACCGGCCCGGCCTCCGAGACCCCATCCGTCCCCCGCATGCCTAGCCCCCTCCGCCCCCTCCCGGACCCCGCGCCGCTGCCCCCCCGGCCCCTCTACCCACCCACGGCCCTCCGGCCGCACTCACGTAGCGGGTGCACATGGCCACGGAGAGGTTGCGCAGGTGCGGCGTGGCCCCCACCCACAGGAAAAGCGAGTCCGTCAGCCGCATGACGTGAAAGTGGACGAGCTGCTCCCACAGCCTCGCGCTGAAGTTGTGCAGGGAGACGTTCCCCCGCGCAGCAGCCCCCTGCCCCTCCATGCCGCCCGGAGGCCCCGCCGCACGCGCCCCACCCGCTCCAGCCGCGCCGCCGCCGCCAGACCCGAGCAGGCGAGCGCCGAGAGGTCGAGCGCGCCTTCGTTTTCTATCCCGAGGTGGGGCGGGGCCTGGGGCGGGGGCTCGAGAGTGGGCGGGGGCGGATCCCGGTGTGGGCGGGGCTTTCCGGGGAAGGGCGAGGCCCAGGTGGGACGCCGGAGGGGCGGGTCCCGAGAGTGGGCTGGGCGGGGGCGGGCCGGCGTCCTTGCGGACAGCAGTGTAGACTTGTGGGAGCGTCTTACCTGGTGGAGACGCGCCGCCCAGCAGAGGGCAGCGCTGTTCAGTCGGTGCCGCAAGCACTCAAAGCAGCCTCCTCCGCGTGCTCGAGCTAGCCGTGAGGATGGCAGCGATACTGGGGAAAGCCCTAGAAAGGAAAATCGCATGGACTGAGTTAGGGGGGTGGGTTGGCACGCCTTTGGACCCAGACCCCTGAGCTGATGCCCTGTACAAGTGTGGGCCTTGGCTAAACCGTGCAACCCGAGCCTCAGTCTCCCCATCTGCAAAGTGGAAGTAAGAACGGGCGCCTCTCAGAGGCGTGGGAAGCAGGTGAAAGGGGGCCACTGTCATCCCTGCTGGGGACCTTGACTTGTAGTCACTCTGGGACACTCGGAGTTGACATAGGAAGGCTTCAGTGTGTTGAGAGGCAGTGTTTGTGGTACACACACACAGCGCCCATTTTTGTCAGATTCTGTTACAACTGACTGTTGGGTTTTATGTCAGAACTATCAGAGTTGTGCTTTTTAAATCTCTAATAGATCTAAGTTGACCAAATTGACATTTAAGAGAGTAAGTATTGTTAAAAGTTTGTTCCCTTCGCTAATTATCAATGATTCAATTATGTACTTAATTTTCAGGTCAATAGTTTCTAACAGCTTTATTAAGGTATAATTAACCTACAATAACTGCACTATTTAAAGTATACGAATTGAAGTTGTGACACGTGTGTAACTCATGAAACCATCCCCACAACGAAGAGAATGTACATGTCCATCACCCCCAGAGGCTTCCTCAAGCCCCTTGTAACCCCTCCTGCCTCCCCCAAACACTGTGCTGTACTTGGTCACTAGTTTGCATTTTCTAGAGCTTTATGTAAATAGACTGTACAGTAGGTATAATTTTTGCTCTGCCTTTTCACTCATCACAATTATTTTGAGATCCATCCAGGTTGTTGCATGTGTCATTTGTTCCTTTGCATTGATGACCAGCGTTCTGCTGGGTGGACGCACCACTGCTTGTTTATCCCTCACGTGCTGATGCCCATTTGGGCTGTTTTCAGTTTGGGGATATTGCAGTCAAGCTGCTATGAACATGTCTGTACAAGTCTCTATGAACACATGCTTTCATTTCTTGTAGTTAAAGACCTAGGAGTAGAATGGTTGTACCATGTGTAACTTTTTAAGAACCTGACAAGCTGTTTCCACAGTGACTGTGCCCTTGTATGTTCCCATCAGCAGAGTATGAGTTCATTTTAGCCATTCTAAGGACTATTTCAACGTGATTTTAATTTGCATTTCCTTAATTATTAATGAACCTCAGTTTACACTTCACACCACATGCAAGAGTGAACTCAAAATGGTTCAGAGACCTAAACATGAAACCTAAAACTGTAAAACTTCCAGAAGAAAATGTAGAAAACCTTTGTGACCTTTAAACAGACAAAGATTTCACAATAAAACACCAAAAGCACGATCCATAAAAGAATAACTCGATGAACTGGACTGACGGAGCAGGTGATGTCACCCACACATCAACTCTAATACCCTCTAATGCTTTGTCCCCTTAGAAGACAAACACCATTTTTAAAACAGAGAGTTTCTCTCTAAAGAGCCTTGAAGAGCTGTCTGGGGAAACTAAGGCAAGAAGCTAACACCCTGTTGCCCCCTGTTCTCCCCGACACCTGCCCAGCACAAGTGGGAGCACGCTCCTCTCTGCTCCTCCGGCGGGCTCAGATGACCGCTGCGGAAGCCACGTGACCCAGCAGGCAGGGCTTACAACCTCCAGGCCCCCCATCACCAGCTGCCCCTCAACACACTGTCCTGTGGTCCCCAGACTGCATCCTCTCATTTACCTTGAGGACTTTTCTCCTCAAGTCCTAACCCTACCCAAGCCCACATTCAGCCGATGCCCCAGCTCCTGAGTTTACAAAGAAAACAGAGGTCATCGGGCTCGATTTCCCCCAATCCTTGTCCCTCCTCTCAAACCCTTACCTCCATGTGACCCCACTCGTACCTCCTTCTCCCCCTCATTACGCAGGAGATGCCCCTCCCCTTGTCCCAGGCTGATCTCTTCCCCTGGGCTCTGAGCCTCTCCTCCTTCACGTCCTCAGGAACCCACTCCATCAACCACGCTGGCTTCTCCAAAGACTCTGGGATGTGCCTCCCAGACCCCTTCAGGAAAGGACTGGTTGTCCCAGCTGCTGGCCATTAGCGGAGAGCCTTCCACTGGGGCCTCCTGCCGCGTCTGCACGCCCTCCCCAGGGCGGCCCACCCCCAGTGACTGGCAGAGGCAGCTGTGTAAAGGCCAGGCCTTTGCAGCCCAACGCAGGACAGCTGTGATGGGCCCTTTTCGCTCCACAGTGCCCACGGAGTCAGCTCAGGGTGTAAGGTGGGGGTGATACAAGGCTAGTAGTCACCCTACACCGTCACAAGACATGGGGCATGGACGATCCTCAGTCACCCTGATCTCAGGTGGTCCCTTTGCTCCGTCTCCGGGAACCAGATAACTGAAGACGTGACCAGGTCCCCGGCAACACACTGTGAGCCCCAGCCCTCCCCCAAAGGGACCAGTGCCCATTTACTCAGGTAACGGTACACTCGGGAAAGAGGAAGACCCAGGCATTTCAGGGGTCAGAGCCGGCACTGAGATATGGGGACCAGAAGTGTCATCACTGCCCTCCTGCGTGTGCGGAGCCTACAGGGACCAGACAATAAACAGAGTGCTGGCCTAGGGTCCACATTCGCCTGGTCCCTGAACATGCAATTGGGGTGGACGCGCTCAGAAGTTGGCACACCCCCGTACTGGGTCCTTGGCCTGGGGTAGGAGCTACTGTAGTGGAGGATGCCGGGGGGAGCCTGGGATACTGCCCCACCTCAGCCAGGCAGTACTGCATCCAGAGGAGGGTGGAGCATCATGGATGCAAAGGGTGCAGTGGCGGTGGTCCTCATCCCTCTCTACTTCACCAGCTGAGGCTGGGAGACGGCGACAGACCACCATGAGCTCAACCAGGAAGCAGTCCCAACTGCAGCTGCCTCAGCAGCTGTGGTATCTTTCCCAGAGCAGAACAACACGTCTTCAGGTACGTGGAAGGTGGACCAGGACTGGGGAAACGCGTTCTTTTCTCTTCTGATCAGAAAAGAGGAGCAGAAGCAGTTTGCATTGACGTGGATGGATGACAATATTCGTTTATATGAATGGTACTCGTAGCCCAAGGCTGTGTTAGCTCTCCACCCGCTCACAAAATGTAGTGTGAAGAGCTCTACACCGTCTATAGACGTTCCACGTAACATCACACTGATGCATTACATCATTGTCACCTGTGTCACCAATGCCCTGTCGTCCTCAGCTCACACTGATGGCTGCAGGCAGGATCCCATACAAATAGCTGAAGACGGGGGTGAAAGCCTGAGCTTGGCCGTTGGGTGGGTCAGTGCAAGCCACAGATGGATGCAGTTGCATTACAGATTCACTCCGGCAGTGCACCTGGTCATCTGTGTGTCGACAGAGCAGTAGCCCAAGGTTAGAGTATATACAGACTCATGGGCGATGGCCAGGGGCCTGGCTGGGCTGGTCAAGGACCTGTAGGAAGAAAGACTGGAAGATGGAGGGCGAGGAAGTCTGGGGAGGAGGCATGTAGGCGGACTGTCCACTAAGTGTGGAGATCACCATAGCACGTGCTGTCACCCAGCAGACAACGTCCACCACAGTCAACAAATTTGTCAACTAAGTGACAAAAGGACTCCATCACTTGATGTTGGTTGGCCCCGTCTGCCACCACCCAGGGCTGGCACAAAGGGCCAAGAACAAAATAGCCATGGTAGCAGGGATGGAGGTTCTGCAAGAGCCAGCAGCACGGACTCCCACCTCCCAAGGTCGATCCTGCAGCTGTTGCCACCACGTGTCCTACTGGCCAGGAGGCCCAGGCCCCAGCTCCTCTCTGGCGCGGCTCCCAGGGGTGGGAGCAGGGTGGCGGTGACGGGCTCCTTCCACCCAGAGGTGCCAGTGATTTGTTCTCATGGGGGCCACATTCCAGGTGCAGGTTTGCCCTCCTGCCCGCAGGGCCTCAGAGACTGCCACCATCCAAGTGCTTACAGAGTGTGTCCTCTGCGTGGCATTCCACGTAACCTCACTGAGACAGTGGAAGAGGTGGGAGGGTGGGCCCAGACCCACGGGAGCCGCTGGTCACATCACCCACAAGCTGCCGCCCACCGAAGAAAGAGACGCTCAGAGACGGTGTGGATGGGGAGTCATCCCCCAGGCCCCCCACACACAACGGAACCGAAGTGCTTCCCATAGTGCCATGTCCCCAAGAGGAAGACCTCATGGGCCAAGGACGCCAAAAATCCATCTAGGGGCCGGTGCTCCCCAAACCTTCACTCACCACGGGATCAGAAGCCCCAGGGGACATGGCCGAAGTCCGCTAAGCCATTGCTACGTGTGGCTAGCACTAGCACTTTGGGCTCCTTGTGTCCAGAGCCCCGCAAGTCTCGAAGCGGAGGCAGCATCCCAGCAGGGAGGTGCACCCTGATGTCAGGGGGAGGTTAGGGCTACTGTCACCCCTGGGGGAGGGAGGAAAGTGTCCTGCTCCTGGGTGACCAACTTGCGAGTCATTTGGTATCCCCTGCCCAGCTGTGACAGTAAGTGGACCAGAAAGCACCGCTGGCCTAAGGGCAGATCCCCCTTCCAGGAAAGAACTGTCACTGGGCCCTGGGGTCTGGGCCCTTCAAGTGTCACCCCCCTCTTGATTACCTCAGCTGCTGAGAGCCTCCTTACCCAAAGGTCTTTCCCGGGGGCTCTGCAGCCATTTTAGCTCCAGAGCCCCCCATGGAGCTGTTG